ATATGTGTGTTTGCGTGCATATGAGTGGCATCCCGAGGAGAAGTTTTCCTCCCACTACCATCAAACACTGATATACACAACCATAAATAGATCAAAAATTTCAAAAAGAAAAAGTTTGTCTGACAATCGCAAAGGGTGTGAAACTCAGGGTCACAAACTCACATCAATACAACTAAATATGTTAGCTTTATCACTGATATTGAGCACCACACACACACACAAAATTAAGAGATCAGCAGATTTCACTATCTTGGTTTCAACATTTTTATATCTTCAGGCAATTTTGGTCAATTGATTTCCTATTTTTGAAAATATAGCATTACTGAAAGATTGAAACCAAGGTAACAGAATCAGCTGATCTCCTAATATTTTATTATTAGTGTTTATCTTTTTATATGTGCATTGAGCACTTTTTATTACTACTGTTTCCTGGTCTAGTTCAACTGACCATCAACTTCTTTATTATTATAACTTTCTCTCCTATATTTCATTTTCAGTGCATTTTTGTTGTTTTTCATTTTAACCGGTACATTCTAACATGCTATATTTTATGTGCATTAATTCACTATTACACTTTTTTTTTTTCCGAATGCACAATGATTGGTTTGTTTTTTTTTAACACATGCCGTTTGTTTATAAAATTTATAGATGATACTACAATGCAAGAATTCAGAATACTGCACTCACTATAAAACATCCTGATTCCAAATAACAAAGAATATATGCTAAATTTATTACAAAAAATTGAGCAATTCCTTACCAGAATGAGATGGAAGGCATTATTTTTATTAAACAAATATTTAAAGAACAAAGAAAACACAGAAAAATTCAGTTCATGCTTAGTCCCACCAATATAACAAATTTAGTCCGATGAAGCTCTGAATGACAAAATGTGTGAAAAGTTTATTTTTTCCCACTTTGTTATACAATTTCCCGTGTGTGTGTGTGTGTAAAATTTTAATTAAAAATATATCTGTAAAAGAACAATATGAATAATAAATACAAAAGGAAAATTTGCCTTGATAAAGTCCATCAGAGGACAAAATGCGTTGCCTAAAACACAAGTTTCATTACAGAAAACTGACAGGGTAATGTGATTAAGCTTTTTATTTAACTTTTCTTGTGCAAGCATTTTCTTTTCTGGACACAAATGTGTTAAAACTGTTCAAAAGTTTTGCATATCCAAGCACTTTCAGCTATTCTTTTAGCTATTATCAAGGAAAATTTTAATTTTTTTATTTTTAATTGGATGTGTGTTTTTTTTATGTACATGTATAAAGTTATAGGAATGTTTTATTTTCCAAACATGGTCAGTACATTGTAGCTATGTTCATAACTAATACTCTTGAGTTTTTCTTTTCCTTTTTTTTTTATTATTAGGGCTTCTATTATTTTTTTTTAAATCGGTTTTTACATGTGAGTGAGGCTGTTATACTTGTATTTTCTACTTGTATGTTGGAGATGGAGTTTGGTCGGTTTCTCTGTGTGTTTAAATGGGTCCTAATTGAGCTATGGTCAGGTAGGTGTAACACAAGTCATCTGGATAGACACAAAGTAGTATGATCAATATAATTATTTATAAGTTTGGTTTGATCCAGAACATAGTTCCTTGTGAGGCATTTGAACACATAAATAATATTGATTCTCTTTTGTCAACTTTTTGACAGTTTTTATACACTTTGTGTCCAAAAAAGAAAACACTTGTATGAACATAAGAAAAATTAAATAAAAAGCTTAATTGCAGTACCTTGTCTGTTGTCTTTAATGAAACGTGTATATATCTTTATTAGACAATTACATATCATCAATACTTTATGGCCTTTTGTTCAAAAAGTTACATCAAATATCTTCATATCATTTTGTACTATAAGGAATGCTGAAAAGTTTTCTACCTATAAACTTCCCAGCGTCTGAACAAATCACTAAACATAAGATTTTTTTTTTTAAAATTGTTTCTTAATCAGGGCAAGAACGTTTCAGCATGCACAAGCAAAACTTTAATACAGAGTTCTTGAAAAAAATGTCTATCTTTAAATCTGATCAACAAACCAATGTCTGGACAAGAACATTTTATGCATGACTACATTTTTTTTTATAATCGTTTCACCCCAAGCAAGGCAACAAAGGTAGAGGTTACTGAGTGTTAGAGAATATGAGAAAAAAACACTATTAAAGAGAGAAAACAATAAAAAAAATAGGAATTAAAAAAAGTACAGAAGATAAAGCCTGACATTGCATTTAAATTTTTGAAAATCAAAGTTGACTGGGAAGCAAGAAGCCAGAATAGAAAATGATGAGACATTGCTAGCAATCTAGTATTGCACTTAAATTCATAAAGTCTAAGTACCAAAGAGGAATGTTCATCAGAACAATTGCCATGAAAGTATTTATAGAAAAACCACATGGAAGCTATGTTACAGTGGTGGGAAAGTGGCTGAAGTTGAGCTGCCAGGTTAGGACCAATAACATTGCAGATTCTTATTTGGATTTTATCAAGACTCTCCAAATGTGGCAGCAATATTCAAAGCAAGGACAAATGATAAGACTTATAAATATCTAAGATAGATTCTTGCAAGGAAAATTGTCTAGCATAACATAATGAACAAACTTTCCTAGCAACAAATCTAGCAATTGATTCCACATAATAAATGTTAGTCAGAGGAAGTGTATGGAGTCACTCTCCTGGAGGCTAGCATCATCTATGACAATGGAAGGCAAAAAAAGGTTCTCAAAGATGATTAAAAGAGAAAAGATTTGTTTTGGAGGAAATACACAAACAAAATAATACTAAACAAACATTTAAAAAAGTGCATTATTTTAATGTAAGATGGATGCCTGTTGTAAAATGATAAGTATCTCTCTACATGTTAATTTTGTTAATTTTATAATCAAGACTAAATCATACTCTCAAGAAGTGATGTAAAAGCAATATATGTTTTATATTTAAATGATGTATTAAGCATTTCAAATATCTCATCGAATTTTGAACACAGTGAACATAAAAGACAAAAATTAGAAGTCATAGTAAACAATTTAAGCCACAAATTTTCATAAAGTTTTTACATCTGTCAACACATTCAATTACCGTATTTGACAATGTATAAGACACACCCCAATTTCAGCAGGGCAAATCAAGAAAAATTAGTAATTAGTAAAATTATTAGTAAATGGTACAGCCTAGGCTACATTTATGAGGTATTATTTTGGTTAAACAAGCCACAATTACAATTAAATGAAAAATAATAGGAAAAAAAGAACATGAGCTTATAAAAAGTTTATTATATCCAAAGGTAAGAAAACAAAATTAAAATCAAGCAATTATTACAATTGAGCAAAACAGTACAGTTAACATTAAAATTTTATTCATCTTCAAATCCATAAAATTCGTCATCTTCGTTATCAAAACTCTGATACTCATTTTCAATACTACTATCATAGTCATTAAATAATGTGTCATCTTCTGTTCCATTGAGAGCATTGCTAATTTTAAAATTTTTTTACAATTTCTGGTCTAATATTATCCCAAGCTTACTTCACTCATTCACAAACTTGTGCAATACTGGGTCTTTTTATTCTTCCTGTAAGTGTAAGGTCATGATCAGGCATTGCCATCCACATGTTCCATTGCTCCTTCATGTTTTGCTTGAATGGTCTATTCAAAGATACATCCAGAGGTTACAACTGACTTGTTAGTCCAGCAGGTATAACAACTATCTCTCTCTTCAATTCTGCCACTTTCTTTTTAACGGATTCAATCCTATGCACTTGGAACTGATCCCAAACCAGAAGAGATGGCTTTCATAACAATCCACCAGGATGTCTTTCCTACACAACTTGTAGCCATAACTGTAGACCAGCTTCATCCATCCAGCCTTTTGGCATGAACATGCACATCTTTTGGTATTTTATCTTTCAGTGTAGTTTTTCTTTTAAAAATCAGAAAAGGAGGCAGTTTTGTGCCATTAGTGCAACATGCAAGAATGATCATAAAATGGACCTTCTCATGGTTTATGGTTTTTATTGTAATAGTCTTGGATCCCTTAATATTCACAGTTTTGTTTGATGGCACATCAAACATTAGTGGGACTTCATCCATATACCTATCTGGCCTAGTTCAAAAGAAGTTCTTTTTTGAGCCTGTTTAACAAATTTATGAAACTTTACTATTTTGGCATTCTCTGTGCAATTGATGTTTTTGCATGCATTAACAAATCTTCCCATTTCATAAAACGATAACACCATCCTTCTGTTCCTATAAAGTTTTGAATCTCCTTTTCATTTGCTAATCTTCTAGTCTTGTTTCTTATTTTCATAGTAAAATTCTGCCTGTACTCCTCTCATATACAACCCATGTTTTAATTTCCTCTTCAATTTCAGGCCAGTTTGGAGCTCAGTGACGAAGGTTACAGTTTCCTTTCTTCACTGCCTGTAGGTTATTTTCCTGCAACAGCCAGTAACATATCATTTTTTCTGTAGGTAGAGAGACAATATACTTTTCAGCTACTCTATCATCCATGCTCTTTAGCATAGTATATAACATGAAGCTTGTATGTAACAGTGTAGCTTAACCTCTTTCTTGCTGTTGTCATATCTGAAGAAGTGAAATACAATCAAAGATTTTCCTTTATATGATCTGTACAATCTGCGTCTTATAACTGTCTTAGTGGAATAATTCCGATATAAAAATTCTGATTTTATTTATACCAATGCAACTGGAAATTATTGCAAGAAAAATATTAATGAAACAAATGTATTTTACAAATATATAATTTGAATTTATTGCATATAATTTTAGGGAAACAAAATACTAATATTGAATGTGATGAAATTAATATAATGAATATTATCAATGATAACACTTATTCTGTATAATAGCCTTTTAAATAATGACAATGATATTTTTAGTAAATAAAAAAAAACGTGTGCCTTATATGCCATCAAATACAGTAGTTAAAAAAAAATAAGTTCATTTGTTAAAAAAAATCAAAACTTGACCTTACCCTTTTGGAGCATGTGGACTTTGCGCCATTTGTGGAGTGTATGGAGGAGGAGGGGGCATGTTTCCAGGAGCTATCATTGCCATGGGAGTGGCAATATAGGCACCCTAAAAATAAATAAAAAATATTTCTTTTTTACAGTTATGTTTGTTGGATTAAGAATTCTGAAAACATTATCAAATATGAAAAGAAGAAGGCCAAAGAATACAATGTCTGAAATGTTGTGACAATAACAAGAAAGTTGAAAAAGCTAATTCAAATTAGCTCAGTGTACAATAATTCCTCTATCATTAATTTGGAAACAAATTATCCTAAAGAATTATTTGGGAATAATGAAACATATACAAGCATCAATCAATATATATAATTTGTTGTGTAACATAAATGCTTTTATTGAGGAATCTACTTGTGTTAAGTTCATTGACATGGAAGGAGATCATGTAAAATAAATAATTTTTCAGCATTAGGTTACAGACTTATTGATGTACCTATTTTAAATGTATAACAATATAATTACATATGGATTTTCAATGTGATCATATATTTACCCAAATCTATTTTTTTAGTATACAACCTACATTAATTTTTCACTAGTATTTCTTTAATTTTCATTTGAGTTGTTCTTTATTACAACTGACATTATTAGAGTTATATTTATTTGTTTATATTTTCATAGATGAAATTTTGGCTTCAAAATTGTTTATCTACTTAGATTTACTTGCCTATGTTTTCAAGTAAAAGAATATCTTCAAAAAAATTGATTGAAAATTGATATACCTAACTTTTTATAAAATAAAGTCTGCTTTTATAAATATGCGAGAAAGGATATGAAGAAGACACTGGTCAAAGCATATTTTTCAAATATTTGACAAAATAGGAAGGCATTTTGTTTTTATTTATTTGAACTCTGCCCTATTTAAAGGGATTACCATTAATAGACAGAAGTAATTCGACAAAAAAAAAATGCATCTTTTCTTAACATTCTAAACAGACACAAGAAAAACAAACCTCTCATTTAGATCTTAAAAAAAAAAAAAAAAAAAAAAAGCAGCTTTTCTGAAAGAAATATATATTAGGTTCCTGAAGAACCTTATTTTGAAGATGGCCTGAATTTGGTTTAGACTTTGGACATTCTGGTTTTTATCAGACCTAAAATTGTGATAAATCCTGGTACAAATGTGCCAAGTAATTTGTAAGTTATGCAAAAAAACAATTTCTTGTAAAATCCCAAATAAGACTAGAAGTGGATCTAAAAAAGCAAACTATTTCTATGACATTTTGTTCTGTTATTGAAAACTGTTTTCCAAAATTATTTTAATTACAAATTATTGTACAAATGAACTACCTAAAACAATTCTACAAAAAAGAACTTTAAAAAATATATACATTGTTTAAAATGTAAGTATATTAGTTACTGATTGAAGGAATTTTGGTGCACAATAGAAACATTTGTGCAATTAATTTATTTTTATCACTTTCATATTATAATTCTTAGATATGCTAAAGATTTAATTTGTAAAAACATTTTTCTTTCAATTATTAGATGGAATACAAACTGACCTGTTTTATAGTTTTGCAAGATATGTAATGTTATAATTTTTCAAAGCAACTTTGAAACCTACAAATATTTTAGATTAAGTATTGTCAACTATTATTAATCTTGACAATTTTTATCTTAATAACGGTTGACTATGATCAAAAAAATGAAGATAGTATCACTGCTGTTCCTAATATGGTGTAAAACATAATTTGGAATTAAGAAAAATTAAGAAGAATAGGCTTTTTATAAAATTAGATCACAGGCAGTTCAGAAACTAAGATACAGTTAAGAAGACTTCTACAAGGCAAAATGAAATGTGCATTCAAATCTTGGCAGGAAATTATCTTCTATTTTCCCAAAAGCCATACTGTTTGCTTACTACTATAGACTGTCAGTTAAAAGTAGCTAAACAAAAATTAAAAAAGAAAGAAAATTTCTAGCCAAAGTTAAAAACTATAAATGTTAATTACGGCAAAGCAAAATATATCAAGTCAATATTTTTCATATTTATTTATAAATATTTTGTATATCTATGTTCTTAATATATACATTAAGTATTAAATAATATATCCAAATTATATACAAGGAGGTGATGAAAAGTTTTGATCCTTTTAATAAAAAAAAAGTATTGGCCATTTGGTCAGATTTTGGGAAGAAGGTCAAACCAAAAACAATTCCACACTCTCTTGTAAAGATACAAACTCATATAATGATGACAAAATCAGATATTTTAAGCAAATTTAGAGAAAATGAAAATCCCTTCATATAACATGAAAGAAAAATCTTGTTATATACATTAATGATAAGAAAGCCTCAATATTCACCCTCCCCACTATTGGATAAGTTGTACACATCAGGCAGTTTTAATAATCCATCAACTGAAACAGTGATAAAAAACAACAATGATGGGGATGTTAGTCTAAATAACTTTTAGAGCAATTATAATTATGATCTTCTTTCAATAATTATATCAGTATTGTAAATAAAAACAGTTAATATTTATTATCAAAAAATTTACAATACATAAAAAAATGGAACATTATTTATGAAAAAAAAGATTTTCTATTATCCATGAAAGATAAAAAGAATTTAATTGATTGAATGATGTATAAATATTTCTTACATTTAAATCCCATACAATAAAAAAACTGTTTCAAAATCTGCAATTTACTTGGCTATATTTGCAAGATATTTTTGTGGACAATGTAATCATTATCAGTATGAAAAATGTGATTGGAAGGCTAAATTTAAAAGGCTTTGACCTACTGCTCTTGAAACAAAAGGCATGTATTCACCTATTCTTCCCTTCCTCCCAGCTAAGGCAGACTAATTTCTCCAACCTTGGTTGCCAAATGAGAAGGATAACTTTTAATCCAGAAATTATAGAGAAGCACTCCACTATTGTTTTTTTTTTTTTCAAGAACAATTATAGTAATACACAGTTTACAGATATGAAAGGAGCAGGGGCAGTGAAAAGCCATTATTGCCTATGCCCCAAACAGACAAAGCATTATTGTCTATGCCCTGAAGAGACATAGCACTTAGAGAGTAGAAATTAATACCCAAAACCCAAAATTTTATCAAAGCAGTAAAATGGAAAAGGAATTTTGGAATTGGTAAATTGGAATGTAGACTTATCACAGAGTGATTTATAATTAAGGATTAAACAAAAAGGAAATAGTATAAATTGGATAAAAAAAGGCTCCACTGGAAATGTACAAGATGAAATACCCTTCTGCAACTGAATTTGTTTCTTCTTCTGATTCTGTTGACTGAGAGCAAACATGCAAAAAATTACATTATATAACTAATGTTTTATTCTAACAGCTTATGATTATCTAGTTGGAAATAATTAAATTCTACTTACAGTGTAAATAACAAAATTCCCATCAGTCACTCACACACATATTATATATATATATATATATATATATATATATTTGGTTGGATAGATGTGAGTTTGTGACCCTGGGTTTCACGCTTTAGCGATCGTCAGACAAACTGATTAATGTTTTAAAAAAATTTGGGTTTATGTAGATTGCGTGTATTGGTGTTATTGTGGAAGTGGTGGGGGAAATTTCGTCGTTTTGTCATTCATCGTACTAACGCAAACATCGATGCATGCAGACACATATACATACTTGGTCGTCCGTCGGGACTCATACATATATAAACATATGTGGGCAGTTTCGGCTATGACACATGTATGTATACGGGTGGTGTTATATCTATACATACGCATTTGTATGTTGAAATGTTGAAATTTAAACATTGGAAGTGTGGCGGAAATGTCTCGTTAATGTCTCGTGAATGTATCCATGTCATAATATGAAAATATTTTTTTTTTTTTTTTCGCTGAAAAATATTTCCTCGCATGAATGTTTTCTTTTCCTAAAATAAAAATATAATATTTTCTGGTTAAACTAAGATATGAATTCTTTTGGTTAATGATGACTTGTTAAAGTAAAATATTATGAAGTGGTCCTGAAATATTCTTGGCTTCAATATAATGGGGTGTCCCTCTAAATTCTAATGTTTGGTCATTTGGTTGGGCCAAAAACACTTCAGCATCTCCTTGTAGTAATACAGCTCAATGGCTAAATCATGTGTATCATAAACGGTGAAAATATATTTTCTGTATCTCATTTCAAGCAGATGTTGAATAGAAATTTTGAAGCTACACATCATAAGTAGCCAAAATATTCACAAATAAAAATTAATCAAGTTTAGCTTAGTTTAATTTCTCCAGTCCCATGCAGCAAATTGAGAAGCAAGCTTGCTCTATTTTGTCTGATTTTCTACCAATACTTTTGATTCCTTGAGTTTAAACCTGCCAAGTTCATGTCCATCTGTCTGCTTCAGTTGCCTTCTTCACCTTCATTCATCCATTAGGAAACCCTATTTACATTTTCCTTTGGCAACATTCTAAGTATATGACCAGCAAACCAAACTTAGTAATGATCTTGTTTCACACCACTCCTTGGATATACTTCTCCATCCATGGTTTTGTCCTCGTACATGATATTCAACATTTTACTTATTGCTGAAAGACATCCATTTTACTTTTCCAACTTTCTTTGTAATTTTTCTATCATCTTCCAAATTTCACTCACATTAAGTGCAAATTAAGCAAGCAGTTCTGTTTAAATTACTAAATAGCCTTATTTTTATATACTTAACCTTCTTCCCAAAAAATTGATTTACAATTTATCCAGGTGCATACAGTAACTACCTTTCTTGATTTCTATTCATACAATTATTCAATAATTTCATCTTTTTCTATTATATCTGTGATAATATTAGTAAAGACAGGTAACAGGAAGAAAACCACCATACGTCATGACAAGAGCTGATAGCCCAATTCACAATATGCATTCTCAATGAACTGCGACATTGCACAGTAATTACTATGTTCGAAAATAAATAGGATATAACCCCTCATGTATGTCCAAAATAAAGGTAGGACATCATCATATTGGAAAAGAGTACACTAAAATTGGTCACATGTGTTAACAATATCTTGCACCGAGATTGTAAATTGATTGAGGGGAATCAGTGTCCTGTTTGTCAGTATGAGCAAAACATTTAAAAAATGAAGAATGTCAACTTGTTGATTCCAATCTAGATTAGGAACGACTGCAAAGCACTTTCCCCTCCCCAATTTATAGGCAGAAGCACACAAATGCATGCTGGGATTTCTTCCTAGCCAATAAAATAGGCCAGTTCTTGGTTTCACCTGACTCAGTCCTGGTCTGTCTTATCTAGAAGTCAGAATGCTACGTTCGTTTATCTAAATTTGCTCAAATTCTTAATTTGTGAATTTTTTGCTATATTACTGTTGCTTGGCCTTATTACTGTTAATTTGCCTTGCGTATATTGGTTTTTGTCTTGGTTTTTCCTTTTCTTGTTGTTGTTTATTGCAAACTTTGCCAATTCTGTTTGTTGGGCAATTCTGCTATTTATTTATGGCTGTTCACACTATACTACTATCTCTCAGATTGACTAATGTAGAATGTTGCCTCAAATTTCCAGATGAAATTCACATTCATCATTAAATGTCTTGATATTGTCATTTGCTCAGTTAATTCAAATTTTACATCAGAAATATGTTTCCCTTATGAAATCATTGAGTGCAAAATTGTTAATACAAAAAGGAAATATATGATAAGACTGCATTTTCATTTGACATTCTCAACAACGTCTGGTGGTATGCTCAGGTTTAGGGGTAATGATGCTTCAGCTCTGAAACCATGACTGACTAATCAGATGAAGACTTTGTCAGTGATACAGCAGGATTTGCATGAAATTATATACAGTTACTCAATAATCTAATTTATTACACTCTTTATAACAGCATCAGACACCTTATTCATGTTTGTAAAATACCAACATGCAGTATTAATATATTGGGTGGCTAAAATGTTTCTTTAATTTATTAAATTAAATTTTTTGTTTATTTTCAAAACTAACTTTATTGATAAACATATTTACCATTTTGTTTCACTCTGGCCATATTTCAGGAAACTTTATAATTCTCTATCTCTATGGCTTAAGAACAATTTTTTTTTTTAATAAAGTTAAGACTAAACTCTCCTAATATCATCTAATAGCACAAAAACATTTTGGCCAAGTAAATATTATACAAACACTTTCCATCACTTCATATAATGAAGCACACTTCCTACTTCATTACTATGAAATGATGAAACATTAAAAAGGTGAAGTTTAACAAACAGAAGTATACATATAGTCACAGTAATGGAAACTTCTAGAATATTTTTTTCATCAAAGACAAAAAGTCTACTACAAATGATCTCTATAAACCAGTTCTCAATCTTTAACAATTAACCTATATTTTATATAATCACAATCAAAAAGATTAAAAGAACAACCCAACCAGATAAGGTTACTCTCAGTTTTTTCAATATTATTTTACCTGCACAGGGTATATCCCTTGGGCCATCATAGGAGCAGGTGCCATCATTCCTGGAGGTATTATGCTATATTGAGCAGCAGCTTGTGGAGTAGCAGGATAATATTGGGCAGTTGCTGCAACATTTTTTACCCTGCATTGGAGGAAAGCCTGCAATAAAATTGCAAAATTTATAATTTCTGAAAGTTCTACATGTAAAAAGGAAAGGAGAAATGATAACTGATAATGTGTTGTAAGATTTTAAATTTCAGATTAGAAACAAAAACTTATGAGAATGCTTACTTCATAAAATTTAGGAAAAATAAAAAAATAAAAAATATCTCATGCAAATCTCAAGGCAAGCCACAGAATTATTTGTGATGTAATGAAATCAATATATAATTTACCTTATAGTTTCTCTTATTACTTATTATAAAATTTTCCTTTGAACAAATATGATTGTTATTGTTACTGTTTGTTAATAAAAACAATTAAGAGAATTTGGTTAAGCTAAAATTGATATTCTCTACAAAAATGTATTTTTTCAGCATACTTTGTTCTTCTCCTTATGAAAAGAACTTATTACTTTGGAAACTTGTTCATTTTTGAGAAAATTATAATTGTAAAATGGGAGCAAACAAAGTGGCTCTTAAGTGGAGGTTTAATTTCTAATATATCTGTAGTGTTGAACTGAACCCGAACTTTGTGTCTGACATTATGACATCAAATTTTCAATTTACCCTGTGTTTGTGCACATGTTGGTACCAGTCTTTATGAAAATGTCATAGTTTTTTTTTAATCATTTTGATGCATTCTATATTTCTTTGGAAAGTATTTCTTAAAACTAAGATAAAATTTGGTAGGAAATAACAGAAATTATATAAAGCAAATTTTCTACCATCTGATTATTTCCATTTTCTTGCTTACAGACATATCATGTTGAAACACCAGTTCTCATAAAATTACCAAAATTAAACAATGTCAAGCCTGGTTAATACCTAGATGGGTGACTGCTTGGAAATGCTAGGTGTTGTAAGCCTGGATGTGCAGGTAGTATAATGGATAATGAGTCAGAATTATTATTCAGAGAGTAGAGTTCCAATTCCAGTCAGGTTTATTATATTCATTTATGTGTAGATACCCTTCAAAAAAGTACGAATCCCCCTCTTCTATTCCTATTGAAAAAAGCGATTATGTTGAAAAATATTAATTAGTAAGAATCATAATTATTTGAAAAAAAAAAAAAAAAAGAAAAAATTCTTCCAATCTAAAAATATTTTCTGGCTTTAAATAACTTGCAAAAGATTGATGAGCCATAGAAACACATCAATCCAATTAAATGCATATTCTCAAAATAGATTAAGTATATTGTTATCTCAACTTTCTCAATAATATCAAACTGTTCCATAAAGACCACCCAAATGCTCTTATTTTAAAAACATTCAGTGGTTACTGATAATGTACAGTCTTGCATTGACTAACATCTTTTATATCAATAGACATAATTGGATACAAAATCAGGATCCTTTTTAGTTCATTTACATTAGAAATTGAACATTCCAGTTTGACATTATATGTACAGCATAAATCAGCTCCCCTACCCTATCAATTTAGGGCCATTTTATTTGCTTCCAATTTAAAACTTTAATTTAAGGAAAAAAATAGAAAATAATATTCATCTTAACCAAATCTTTACCTAACTAGGTTCTCCTGTCCAGTTAGGGGTGGTAAGTGGCATCAGGGTAACAACATTTCACTATCTATCATAGTCTGCAGTCAGTGTTATAGTTCTTGTCCAATATGAACCTCTAGTTCTGAAATCCTTTATTATTATAGCCCTCTAGGATCTTCACTAAAACTTGTCATTGACAACACAAATGCATCATTTCTTCAATGCTTATTTTACTTACTACTTTTAATTGTTGATCCAGTAGTATATCCAGTTTTTACAGGGTAAAAATCAACAACCCAGACCCAACTTGGCTTGAAACAAGTTTAAGATAAACAAAATATTGATCTTTCAACAAGAAAGAAAATACAATTATATTTTTGTTAGTATGGACTAATTCCAAATTTTCTGCTGTATCACATTTGTAACATGAAGATTGGTTAACTTCCTTGCTCATAAAAGATTTCTATTCCAAAGTATCCCTCAAATGAGCAAATTGTTCACTTTCTCCAGGTTTCAATAGATTTTATTAAAAATGTTTTCTTGAATTTTACACATAAAATTTTTATTTTATATTTTATCACCCAGTAGCTTCTGTTTAGTATAATTTGATGAAGATTATACTGTATCTACCCATATATTTTTCTTGTAATAATTTCATTTTTAATTACTAATGACTTTATTATATCAAAACATGTTGAAAAATACCTTTTCTCATTATTGTTTAAGTTTGTGTATAATATGAAATGAAAAAGGAAAAAAAATAAACTTACCAGCCTGCATTTGGGAGAAGTCCATGTTTCTGAAATGGAATAAATAAAAAAAATCATAATTTTTCAAACATTTTTATTCAAAATATTTTATTTAATACAATTTTCAGCAATTTTTTAATAAAATCTTAAAAACAAGATTCTTATTTACAGAACAATGATTAGCAACCTAGTCACACATGCCATTATGATCATTTTAACACATTTAAACCATTCTTGTTGAATTATTGATAAGAATATTTTATGTTATCTTTATTTATTTGTGTTGGTGGTATTAAGGCCAGAATTAAAAATTTATGTAAAAAGCGTCCACAGCAAAAAGATTCTTCTATATAAAATGATATATCCCTCTATATTTCTGAGATGAAGTTTACATTGTTCAGAGTGTTGTCCTTATTTTTATTTTATTGTCATGTTCACAACGTTTCAGCTGTTGTATGCTCCAGCCTTCTTCAGGTGATTGGAATATTGAACTGAACCCTTTATTTCATCCACCAGGGTAGATTGTTCTAGATTTTTTTTTTGTGTGCCCTCAAGGACACATAGCCCAGTGGATAAAAACTGGATCCAGTGACTTACCTGTCTATGGCAGTGGTGAACAAAAATTTGAAAAGTTGAGTTAAAGGGAGATAACAGAGACATCCAGAAGAGGTATAGCACATGGAACTAGAACAATCTACCCCAGTGGATGAAGGAAAGGGTTCAGTTCGAAATTCCAGTCACCTGAAGAAGGCTGGAGCGTATAATGGCTGAAACATCATGAACCTGACAATAAAGATGAGAACAACAGTTTGAATAATGTAAATAAAGTAAATAATAAAATGAGATATCCATTAAGTAATAATAATTTTTTTTTATTTTGGATAGCTTGATTTTCTTTTCAATTTGTTAAAGAGAAAAAAGTCAATGATATGAATAAAAAATAAAGGTGTAAAGTTTGGAAACAAATATATTGTGTACACTTCTATTGAAAAAAACAAAAGAAAGTAAAATTTGCTTTCATAACATTTAAATATTTATCATTATTACCAATCAAATGATTACATGTTAAACAATTATGTGAATAATATATAATACAAACAGTATGAAATGAAAAATTGAAACTTGATGACTGCTTTCAAACTTTTTTCAACTGAAACATGGCATCATATATGATATCTTTTTTATAAATATGCTTGTGGTGTGTAACGCAACAATTCAACTGATGATAACAGGTAGGCACAAAGAAACACGGTGTCGCACGTCCAACCTTCTGTTCTTTAAGGCTTTTCTGATTAAAAACAGCAGAAACGAGCCTGCTTTATACAGCTGCGGACCGACCACGATTTGCATGCGAATCACGAGGCAATGAAATTTCATGTTAACTGTCGAGACAATTTCGGCATAAAAGATGGGCGCCGCCATTTTGGTTTTCTTTTTACTGACTGCGCAGACCGCGTTTCCGAGGTAGGCCATTTTCACAATTTTCCCCACACTCCCCTGATCTCATGATCACAAACAGGGCAGGGAGGTGGCGATCGTCGCCGTCAGTCCCTCTCCGAAGGGGGATAACACAAGCTTCATCCTCGTGCGTGTTCTCGTCTGTGGTTTGAGTGTCGGTAAACACTGTGTCCGCGGGAGGCTGCTGTTATCAGAATCGCTGCCCTGCAGGTCTAACTCAAGGCAGATTGAACGCTCACTACTCCCAGACTCGGAATCGCTTTCATCGCCGGTAGCGGTAGTGATTGTGTCACCGGTCGCAAGTCTTTAATGTGACGAGGCACCCCATCAACTCTCACAGATTGCGGGCTGATAACCTCCGTGAACACGTCCAGTGCCGATTTTGTCGTTACACTTGCCGCGTGGTTTTTTGACCCAAACGATGTCTCCTTTTTTTCTCCTCCAGTCACTTCTAGTTCAGGCAGCGGGTTGGCTTCGATGCCTTTCACGCGGACATGATATTTTGTGAAGGCGCCATGGATGGTGAAATGTTATCCTTCGGGGCGACATTATACCAGTAAACCGCTTCGATACTGTACAGCCCTTCCTGGCTGCGATGGTCTTGATGGTTCTGTGGTTCCGCTCACGATGCCGTTTCCACTTGGCGAAAGTAGGCACATCGAAACCGCAGATGCACGTCCCAAGTGTCCACAAATTCTTTAAAATCTTTACTGGTGAACACAGTATCGTTATCCGTCAGTATTTCCATGGGTGGGCCTCGCTCCAGGAAAACATTCTCCAACAGTCGAATGACGGTGCTCGTGTCTTGTCTGCGCAGCGCCGCCCATACCGAAAACCTGGAGGACCGCAATCAATGAGTGTTAAAAAATTCTCACCATTGTAGTGAGTTATGTCCATTGCCAGTCTGCTCCAGTTGCTCTTCACGCTCAGTTCTCCTCTTTCCCAGTGAACGGGTGCCGGATCGATCTACTGACAGGTTGTGCAGGCCTTCAACGGATTTAATGCTTTCTCTGGACACCTGCGGGTCGACTAACCCATGGCACAGAGTTCGTTTCACGCCCGGATGTCCGCATTGACGATGCGTATTGGCAACCTGGTCCTCATCCAGTCGTCTCCTGCCACTGCACAGCTCTCGAGTGCCGGTTCTCCTCTCTTGAGCAGTTCTAGCCACCTGTGCGGTACTCTGGTGA